GTTCAGTTTCTTTTATTTGGCATCATAATTTTGATGCTGATTTATTTGTTTTGCTAATTAATAAATCATGAATTCATTACAATATGTTTATCCAATCAGTTGCCCACATTTTATGATTTTTTTTCACCTTTCTTGATTTTGGTTAGATTAATAAAGATATAATTAACAATAGTTTTATGCCTACACTTACAGATTAACATTTTACTTGCTCTCTGCTATATTTGTAAAAGTATGGCTGGGGGCACAGGGAGCAGTGTTTTTGACCTTGGAACTGACTAGTAGTGTTTTAAAATGCTTAGAAGATTTCAAACACAAACTAGTGGTACGTTAGAATTCCAGTTGCCTCAGGTCCTACAGATATTAGCATTGTCCTTTTATTTTAGCTATCCAAGTGGGTGTGACACAGTGTGTCATTGTGGTTCAGTTGGCGTTTTTATGGTGAACAGACAATTTGAACAACTTTTCTTTATGGAACATACACACATTTTTAAGTATTTCCTCAAGTTTTTGTTCCATTTTAAATTGCAACTTTATTAGTGTTTATTATTAATAATTACTTACATGTTGTCTATATAATTTCTTTGTTAGATGTATGTAATGGACATTTTTTCTTAGTTATTACTTGCCCTTTCATTTTTATAATAAGTCATCATAATATTTTAATGTTGATAGGATCCAATTTTTAACTATCTTTTCCAAAGTTTTAACACTTGTTCTAAGAAGGTTTTGGTGGCTCACCGATGAACATGTTCTGCTAGCTTTTCTTCTAGGTATATTTAGTTTCAGCCTGGACATTTAAAATCCATTGTATTCACCTTGCTTCTTGTCAATTATGTTCACTTATACCCCATTAGTTTTGTTCTTATTCATTCCTTACTATGAGAACCCTTTTATGCTATTGGCAAATAAGCAGTTGCACTTCTTCCTTTTCATTCTTTTGAATTTTCTTTCTTTTATTGTAGTCGTGCACAGGCAATGTCCTCAAGGAATAGCCTGAAATGAAAATGTTGCCTTTTCTTAGGGGAAGATCACTCACTATTTCACTGTGATTGATGAAAAGTAACTCGCTCAACTTATGATTTGCTGAAAGTTTTACCCAACATGCTTCCTTAATTTTGCCAATAGCAAGTTGTTTTTCTCCATTAATGTAGATGGAGCATTTATTCTTTAGTTTTTTACTATACCAATTTGCATACATGGATTTTCTGGTGTTCAGCCATCCTTTCACGGATAATGACCCCTATGTCACTTCTGGTACTAGTACTTTCTACTCTCCCATTGTCCATAGTTATCATGGTTAAATTGTTTTCATTTTTATTGATTTTTTTTAATGAAGCAGCTTTTCATTTTGTTGGGGTTTTTTCTAGCTTTATATTTCACAATGTCATTGCTTCCTGCTTTAATTTGTACTTTCTTTTTTTCCTGAATGCTTAAAACATAGGTTTGTTTTCTTTTTCTACTTTCTTCAAATGCATATATTGGTTTTAGAATTTTATTCTTTAATAATATTCTTTGAACTTTCTTCTTTAACTTTCTTCTTTAATACACTACTGTATCCTTTCCTCTTGGCATTTTAATACTGTGCAGCACCATTTTTCATGTTATATTTTTATTTTCATATGTTTTAAATACTTTACATTTCTATTCATTCTTCTTTGGGCCATGTAAAAGTGTGTGTATATGCATAAGCACACACACACACACACACACACACATATTTCCTACAGTGCAGGGACTTTTGAAGGGCAAGTTACAGATAGATCTTTTTTTTTTTTTTCAATTTAGAAAGTCTTACTCCTGAAAAGAACTCTTCAGTGTCAGCTTCTTAGTGGTTCAGTAGCTCTAGGGTCTCTCTGGCCCTATCACAGTGAGCATCCTCATCTTCATAGTTTTGGTTTTCTATGAATGGCTCTCCCTAGAGTACATTCTCACAGAGAGACCTAAGCAATGATCTTTCCTTATGGTTCCATCTTGAAATTACTTTGAGAATGAAAGCCAGTGCCCATCAAGCTGATAATGCAAGAGACAGGACTGTCCTGATAAGTTACACAAAACATTTCACGAAGAACTTTTTGTGAGTGTGGATTGAACAGCATGAAGTAATTATCCATCTAACAATTTAGGAAGAGATTTTTCTACAAATGGAAAATAATATAAAAAAACATGGACTTGTAAGATAATTAGCTGTATCTCATTTGACAGTCCTACATTATATATCATTATGATTAAAGTCCCATGCAAAAATGAGGATTGCATTATATTTTTGTTTTGACAAAAATAAATTTTAAATTATACTTGTGTTTTCTTCATGTGTTTATCCAATATGCACAGAACCTATTAAACATTTCATTTCTATTCTGGTTTAGGCCAGTTGCTTTATTACCTAGAATGATTATTTAAAGAGACCTGGTATAGTGTTTCATTTATTGGTGATGCTTGTAGCTTTATATGACCCCTCTAAAACTTTTGCTTGCTCAGCATAGGAAAACTGAAACATGATTTTTATTCTCTACTGCATATATTTCACATTAGGAATAGAAGAAAGTTTGGCCTAAAACATGCAAAAATAAAGCGTCTTCCTCAAGAGTGTTCATTTTTCACAAAATCACTGGGTTGTCCACTGCCTACGGAGTGATATTCTGGGAATCCTTTATTTTTTCTTTTCCTCTAAAACATTCCATTACAAATGTCGCTACAATGCACAGCTTATTTTTCCTCACCCGCACACCCACACATCCACCAACATTAGTTTTCTGAAGTGTGAAACAGGACTTCCTGGTGGCATCTTCACATTTGACGTAACTGTTGAAGAAACCGCTGCTGACACTGGGAATGTCAGTGCAAAATCCTGAGACCCTTTGGAGGAAAGGAAAGTGTTATCCAATTATTTGCTCAAAATATAGCACCAGCAAGTAACTGAGAAGGCAGTATCCCCGTAACTGTCAGCTCTTCAAAATCCACAGCCTTCCAGGTTGAGGGAACTTACTTGTTAAATGCTTTTATTAAGCAACCTAAAAACTGTAAATTATACAGTCTTGCTCATATGGGAGACAAAAAGGAAATAACTACTCAGCAAAAAGGAAAAAAAAAGAAAAGAAAAAAAATTCAAGGGAGAGGTGTGATTTAATTTGGTTGACTTCAGAGTCTGAATTCAGGGGATATTTACTGGGCTAAGATTGTGTTGGGGGTTCTCAAATGATTGTGCTCTTAAGGAATTACTTGGCAAGCACATCTGTAACAACTTTAGAATGCTTCACTTCTCTGAATGGTTTAAGACTGAAAATTGCTTTCAGCTGAATTTCTCTAATCATTGAGGGAGCTGATGTTTCCTTGGCCTGATGTATTCATTTATATCCATACAGTAAATAGCAAGCCCTCTATATCTGTTTAGAGTTCTATACAGTTAATTTTAAATCTATTTTACCTTGTAAAATGGCTTTATCTTAGATCTTGATTGTAAAATAATAATCTTCTCTAAATCAGCCAAACAGAAAGGGAGAATAATTCTTGATATAAATTATAATTTTGAACAGGAAAAATTACTTCAATTTGCAAAAAAAAACATAATTAAATGATTGTGATAAAATCTAGATAACTCATGGGTTATTGTTATAATTCTTTTGCCTGTCAATGTAGAGAAATATTTACTGGATAAATAATATGGAATTACAGCAAGGATCATTAACTCTGTAGAGCAATATTTGTTCTGGAATTCTTTAATCTTTTTTATGTTTTGGAATTTATGAAATTGCTTTTTAATCATAACTTCTCTTAAACCCTCTTTCAAATACTAAGCATACTGGGTTCACCTATGAGTAATTTAACAATCAATGTGAATTCCTGTGTGTTTTTACCACTATCACTTGAAGCTCTTGTGATACATTTCATGAATCTTGTTCTTGTAGACTCATGTTAATAATATTATCATTCCTGGAGCTAAAAAATGATACATACTCCCATGTTCTGTTTTCTGGTCAAGTTTCTTCTTTAAACATACACCATATAAGACTGTAGCACCTTCCATCTTGGCAATCTTAAGGGATGAAGGTTTTTTAAATTTCTCATATCCTCTGTACTTCAGAACAAGTCTAATATATACATATATATTTGTTAAAAATAAAATATTAAGAAAAATATATTTAACATGTCAGTAAGTCAAAATAAAAACAAATTAAAATCTCACACCTACACACACTTACAAACACAATGTTTGGTTAATTTTTAATATAATCTAGGCATTTTCCAATCTTAACATACATTAAGTCATTTCATTCTAACAACTTCATGGGCTAAGAAATATTATTGTTGCCTTTTTTATATATGGAAATAATAGGACACACAAAGAAGTTGAATAGGATTCCTAAAGATATACAGCTAGTTAGAGCCAGAATTTTTTTAAAAAATCATATAAATTATTAAGTTACTCTAGTCTTTGTTCTACATGCATATGGTAATAATGTACATACATATCAAAATTTACTTTCCTGATTAATGATTGACATCACAACATTTTCTTTTCATCGAACACTTTTACGAGGTGGTTTTTACATACATAAATTGGGCTGTGTATTTCCAGTGCCTCAGAACATTGTGTACACACGGCTGCCCTCTGCTCTGTTTGTGTGCTGCCATTCTGACCTGGTCAAGGATGAATAAGATGGTGGAATGAGATGGACATGGTAACCCTCAGTACACATATGAAGACATGAATGGTGTGACTCTACTTTGTTTACAACCAGCAATATGGAAAATTGTGCTCTGCATGTGTAATATGAATTGTGATGCATTATACTGTCATATATAACAAATTAGAATAAAGAATTTTTTTTTAAAAAAAGGATGAATGATTGGATACACATGGCTACCCTGGAAACACTTTTTCTCTCTAGGTGTGGCCATGGAATGCAATTAGACAACATCCTATGTTTGGTGCCATAAACTTTTTTGAATGTTGAAAGGATCCTGTCTACTTACTTTGGTTTGTCCTTCCTCTTGTCTAGAAGAGTTGACACTGCCTTCTTTGACTGTGAAGTTACCCTCAGAATGGAGTTACTGCAGGTCTAGGCAACATCAGCGAAGAACATCAGAAAAGGAGGCTCCTCCACGACACTTTCACAGAGTCCTTTATAGACCTGTGTTTTTTCTCTAAAATGTTTATGTGAGAAAGCAGTAAACTTCCATCTTGGCTAATGCACTATTATTTTGAGTTATCTGTTACTAACAACCAAACTGGGATGAAAAGTCGCCAAATATTTATGCCAAGTTTTTACACAGATAGAGATTGCTACTCTACTAAATCAAAATTGAATAATATAGGCCATTTCTTCTTTTAGCAGATTTTTTTTTTAATTTTTTTACTAATTCTCCTTGAAAGCACAGCTATCTTTCTCCATGACTCAAATATACTCTCTCTAAGCTAATGCATTCAATATTCAGTTTGGTGATGTTGGGGATGAACTAAAAAGATACAATTGCTTATCACGTTGGAACTGCTATCAAACCATCACCCCCACCTCACCTTACACATCCTCTCACTCCTTGATATTGGATCTAATCCATCACAGTGAAGCCTGGCTTTTACAGGCAACTTTTTTATCCTTTAGATGTTGGAAACACATGTAATGCTTTATTTTATTTTTTAAGATATTTTTAATTGTAGATGGACACAATACCTTTATTTTTTTATTTATTTTTGTTGTTGTTTATTTATTTATTTATTTTTGGTACTGGGGATTGAACTCAGTGACTCACACATGCCAGGCAGCACTCTACCACTGACCCACAACCCCAGCCCCATATGTAATGTTTACTTATTTCTGCTATTTTATCAATTAATTTATGTTATTTTATGTTTGGCTAAGGGTAGGTATAAAGACAGTCTACTCATAAATTCATGGCAATCAGTATTTGATCTTATATAACTTTCAAATTCAAAATTATATTTCATCTATATTTTTTATGACAGTAAAAAAATGATTAGCAACATAGGTGCATAGAGGTTTCGATAATGAATGCCAAAACTTAAAGAAATAACATGCATAGTATTTTTTCTATTTTATTTTTTTCTTTTAAAACACACTTATTTTACACACAAAGACCACCATGTAATATACACACACATGACATATGTAATAAGTAACAACATAACTTTCAATATTAATCAATACCTAGTTTATTATAGTGATGCATTTTTGGAACTTAATTTTATAGAAAGATGTACATCTGTGGGTTGTCTTAACTTGGATTTCTACATGTAGAGAAGTGAAATATTTCAATTTATTTCTAGGCATGTTGTGACAGAAATAAAAAAGAACTTCTTAATCTAGCCTTAGGGGTATAGTTGGTGAGGTAATTAATTTAGTATGTGTTGGTACATATTATAGCACAATTTAGGGCAGTAGAAAACAGGGTTATAGCCTGTATAATTAGATAAGACATTTATTAGGTTTACCTAAATTCAATGCCTTAAGATTTAAAACAATTGAAATCAAGGAAGGATAGAGGTATAGCTCAGATGCACAGTGATTGCTTAGTATGAGTGAGGCCCTGATTCAATCCCTAGCATTCAAAAATAAAATAAAATAAAATAATTGCAAATTATACCATTGATAAAAACTTGATCTTAAAAGTAGCTTCAAGTTGAAAAAGCACAATGACAATTGAGATGTTTTGATCCCAATCATGAGACATAAATGTTCTATATAGATGATTGCATAGTAGTTTAAAATATGCATTAAACTGATTTTAGTATCATAAAAGTATTCATTTTATTGACATTTAGAAATTGCCCCAGTCTGGCTGGGCACAAAAATCACGAGCCACTCACACCTTGTAGATTCAAACAGCAACTCTTTATTCTTGAACTGTCACTGGCACTCTACACAACACGTTCTGGGGAAATCCACACCTCCACTGGGCTCTGTATCCTAAAATCTCTCTCAATGGAACTCAAGGAGGGGGTGCCTGGAGGCAGCAGGATATGCCCTATTCCCAGCAGGATACACCTTAAGCCTGGAACCACCCTAAACCCAGATCCGCCCTGGTCCTTGAGCAAGGTCACCTTACATGCAATGTCACTGCAAATGACCTGGGTCATGCCATGCGTTATTCCTACTTGGCAATGGCTCTCAGCAAGAAATTGCAACATAAATGTTTTGCATTATTTCTTGATGTTATTTTAATAAGATTTATGCTATTGCTAAGTATTGATTAATTGAACAGTGCTAATGCTATGCATACAGATATGCTATACAATTTTCTTGATATGAGACATATTCACACAAAAATATTATGTCTAAAGACATTTTTTAAAATTTGTACAATCTTTTTTTGTGTGTGTAAAATAAACTTCTGACCTATTTTATGACTATCATGATTTAAATTTTCTAAATAAACACCCAAGCACATAGTGGGATCATGGAAATAGATCAAGCCATTTGGCAGAGATCCTTATACTGATTGTGCCTGTCTTTATTGCAAGTATAGGGAAATTTTATCAAGTTGGGTAGTTTTTACTGCTCCACAGATGTTTTGCAGAGCAAAGAGTTTAAAATAAATAAAATAACTTATTCCCCTAGGAAAAAAGAAAGAAAGTTACACTTGAAGACAGTTGTTTGACTATCACACAGGGAAATTCCCAAGGAAGCTCTGATTTTGAGTCAACTGCATGCTGAATTACCCACTCATTTGTCAATCATATGAATGCAAGTGACTCCACTCGTTCATTCAGTCATCTGAATGTTGTGTGACCCCCTGAGGGTGGACTTATTCTTTGGTTAACTAGAGTATTGCCTTTTCCAATCAAATGATAATAAAATATCTGTAGCCAAACAGGATGTGATGCCAGGAAGATCCAGGGTTGGAGCCAGCAGAATGTACACCACTTCCCCATACCTATGGTTGAGCTGGATCCAGCAAGATTCCTGCAATTAAGCACTGCCTGTCAGGTAAGACAAACTCACACTGTCTACTAAGATAGACTGGTCAATTTCATCAATTCCCCATTCTCTTTCTCAAGGTATCTCCCTGAAACCATATTAAATTAATCATAGTTCTTAAAATTTGCTTCATCTATAAATAATCTAAATCTTCCAACTAATGCCATCATCTCCTTTGCCACCATCAACACAGTCTCCCACATGGTATCATCTCTGTTGAATAAACCTATTCCTTTTTATAGAGTGTTAGAGTTTAGATCTGGAATGTTCTTCATGTTGAAAGCATGGTCCCCAGTGCATCAGGCTCAGAAGTGAGGATTTTAGGCAATGACTGGATCATGAGGGCTCTGACCTCATCAGTGGATTAATCCATTTCATTATCAATCCACTGACTTGATAGCTGAGTGGACTACAGAGAGAAGGGAGCCAGATGGAGAAAGTAAGTCACAGGGAGCTGGGGGGGCATGCTGTAGAAGGACTTATCTTCTCCCAAGCCCCTCCTCTCTCTCCCTCCCCGTCTTGTTCCTGGCTACCATGAGCTGAGCAGTTTTATTCTGCCTTGCCCTTCTGCCATTGTTCTGCTTTGGGACCAGCTAATCATGGACTGAAACTTCTGAAACTGTGAACCAAAATGAGTCTTTCCTCTTCTAACTTGTACCTGTTGATTATTTTGGTCACCGTGACAAAAGGCTGCCTAACACAGGAGTAAAGTTATGCCACCTCCACTGTGAAGTTCTTCCTGGGTTCCAGAGGTATAATGTACACCACTTTTTCCTGTGTAAGAAACTGCGCCCCTCCTTTTTGTTCACTTCTGTAATAACTTCAGAATGTTAATATTACATTTACAGATTATGTGTCAGTTTTTCCCTAATAGATTGGCCACCCCCTGGGATTTTGGCCATGTCTTATTTAATTCTAGATTTACACTGCTCCTTAAAGGGCCCACAGAAAAATGTCACTGGGTGAAACAATCACATAGCAGCAACAACATAGTGCAATGTGTGTAGTGCCCAACCATTAACCAGATCTAAGAAATAAGCCAGAGAAATAGGGAAGACATCAAATACAGTAAGTATCACGAAAAATTTTACATATGAAAAACTAAAACAATATTGTGCTGAGGTTACTCAACATGTATAGAAGGGAACTTTTGAATGTAAGAGCTTTCTTTCTGTTTTTTAAACAGAAAAGGATTATGTAAGAATTTGGAGTGTACTTGGCCCTGTCACAGTAAGCGATAGGATCCTAGGAAGTAATGGATGGTCTCTGAAATTCAGTTTTTTGAGTAGGACCAAGTGACTTCTAAGTTTTTGTTTAGCCCTGAGACTTTATAATTTTTTATGCTATGATTTTAGACTCATGAAGAATTGATAATCATCAAAATGATTTTTATAATTAATTCTCTTTTGTAATTTAAATGACAACAAGGGTGTGTCAACGAGATATAAGCTTTGCTCAAAAATTTTCTGAAAATTTTCTCCCCAAATGGTCAACCTTTTCTTTTTAAATAATTCTTAACCTGTCTGCACAGGGATTTATTCTTTATTTGACACTCAAGATACTTCAGACTTCACTCACTCTGCCAAAGAAATGATTATTATAATAAATAAGATTTTTCATATGTGGGAAAAAAATGTTTGCATATTTGTGTAAAAACAACCCACCCTTTGCCCTGGTACCAAGAGTATTTAATTGAAAAAACACATATTATATAGGGAATGTGCACACACCTACTTTGCCAGCTGAAAAATAAAGTATGAGTAGCATGTCCAGCTGGTCCAGCTGTAGTTTTCAAAATAAATGAAGCCTTGACCTTTTCCTGCAAATTACTGGCTCAGTAACAAAAACCTCAACACATTATCCTTATTTTGTGTAGTGCCTGAAGGGGTAAACCTAGTAGCTAGAATTCAAGGACACACATTCATGGGAGGATTCTCTGGGATGCATTCTATTAAATCTATACATATATACAAATTCATATATATACATTCATATATTTTTTGTTTGATTGTTTGGTTTGTTAAGGATTCTTTTCTGCCCTCAATTGTGGCTCCTATTTCTCTAAACAAACTCCATTTCAATTCATCTGGGCTTTTTGTTTCATGCATTGGAAATGGAATCAATCAAATTCATGCATGTATGATTTTGTCAAAATCAACTACTATGTATAACTACAATGCTCTAATAAAAAACTAGATCAATGGGCTTGGGTTGTGGCTCAGTGGTAGACTGCTTGCTTAGCAAGTGTGAGGCACTGGCTTTGATACTCAGCACCACGAAAAAATAAAAAATAAAAGTATGTGTTCACCTATGACTAAAAAATAAATGTTTTTTTAAAAATCTAGGCCAAAATAAATGTACACAATTTTCTTTACCTACGATATTTAGACCATTATTTTATCAATAGTCTATAGAATTTTTCGGAACAGTGATATAAAACATGTCATTGTCAAATTCTTGTTAAAAATTGAGAATATCTTCTAGAACTTAACACTAAGGAGAAGAAATAAAGGAACTAAAAATGTCATGCGCTATCTAGACTCTACCTTGTTGATTGATTAGAAAAAATAAAGAAATTAAACTGAATTAAAACAATATTAATAATAAAATATGTCAAACAATCTTTTTATGTTTGGTGACTTTATGTATACAAATACATAATAGTCATACAATTTTTATAAGCCATAGACTTACCAATGTATACCAAAAATCTAACTATATAACTTGATTTTACATTACTGAACACAATTTTAATATTTATTTTTATTGTACATTATATACATAAGTATGTACATATAATTTATTTATCAAAATCGTTGGGAAGCTGGTTTACCAAATATTTAATGAATGGGTACCATTTGTCAAACACTTTTGTAGGTACTATGATGGGGTGGTTGACTAATACTAATAATGAGTGAGATATTTCTCTGCAATCCTGGTTTCATCACCTCTAAATCTAAGAGGTGAGACAGGTGATTTTAAGAATGAGTCCACACAGAATCTGTGCTACACGGGAAGGAAATCATAGACTCCTGGAGTAGAAATAACAGGGTGGAGGGAGATTGTTTTAATAAGGGTACTCATAGATTTTCAGGAGCAAGACTAAACTGATACCTGGAGGAAAAGCATGTTTCAGGGGTAGGATGGCATGTACGAAATAAAGGAGTGGCGTATTTGAGGAAATGGGGCAAGGAGCAGTGGCATACAGAATCTGGGGCTAGTGCTGAATTTGAAGATTATGCACAGACTTTCCAGAACAAGGCTAAGAGTTTACATTTTATTCCAAGTTGAATTTGAATTTTATTCATGTACCATAGGATCCCTTTGAAGAATATTAAGCAGAAAAGATAAAAAATGTAATTAGCTTTTTAATAGGATTGCTCTCTCTATTGTGGACAGAAAGGACAGGAGCTGGGACAGAGGAGGGAGGGGTCTGTCAAAGGTTATCCGACAGGGTGTGGGATTGCTGAGGGAGGTGGCGACCAGGGCTGTGCATTGGGCTGGAGATAGGTGGACATTGGTGTGTGCTTCAATAAAATGAACTGGACATCTCAGATTCAGTTCCTTAACATGATGTCTTAGAAATAACCTGCACCTTCTGCATCTGAAGGTAATGCATTTCCCTTTGCTAGAATCTAGTTGTTTATGTTTTCAGAATTTTGCAACAAAAATGAGAATGAGAAATGTAGGTTGCACTACATGATTTATGACTTTGAATCCAACTTTGCAATTCTGCTTTTGGGTAAGTTAGGGCATGTTTTAACGCAGGAAATAAAATCCTAGAGTAAGATCTTTCTAAGATTTTAAAGGTCATTTTCTTCTCAGAACATTTTTCTTAGGGTGGAGATTAAGATGCTAGTGAAGGAATCTAGTTAGAGGAACTCAACCTCCAAACTATTGAGCTTAAATCAGAGATGGCTCCTTGTACTTATTTGGTAAGAGACAATGCTGTCAGAGAGAGCATGCTTAATCCAATAGTTAGGCCTCTGCTGGTTAGAAGGATTTGAATCTATCCATGTACCCTGTGTCTGCTTTTCTGGATTAAGTGTTTGGTCTGAAGACAACCTTCTAAAAGATTTGTGAAAATCTGTATCTTTTAATGTTAATAATGTGTCTAGGGGAATTTTTAATACATTTCAATTAACAGCTAATGATTGAATTGCCTTCTGATTACTTTGGCACTTTCAAAGTTATCCTGAAAATAGCATTTGTAAACTAACTGCTATGCATCTATAATTATATAAATTACATATATATTTTTATATGGTAAATATATTTGTATACATAGTTCTATATACTTACTGCATATAAGTGGAATGGAGAAGGGTAAAATAATCAAAAGTGCCGGGAGTTGTTCATAATTGTGAATTTACCTATATAAATATAGTGTGCATGGAGACTTCATGCATAAAGAACTTCTGTAGAGGAGAAAGTCATGAGAAAGTTACAAAAAGTTGCTTTCAATCCTGCGGAAACACTCAACATTTATGCAATACTGACCACAGGTGATTCACAACAGCCACTGTGACAGGCAGAGGTGCCAAACCCTCCACTGCCAACAAAATTGTCTCACTGCTAAAACTGCACTGAGTAAAAATAGCCTGGAATATATTATTTTCCTTTAGCGCCTACTTATAGCCAGGGAAACTTTTAAAATGTTGCCTTAAAATTTTTCTGAAATGGAAAAATCAGGGGATCTGCTTTCTAAATAAATAACAACAGCATAATATGCTCTATGCACCTGAGGAAATATTCAACAATGTATGAAGAACTTGTAAACTTTATATTTATCTATTTTGGATGAGGTAAACCATCTTTCCAGTTTTTAGCTATGAGTTCTTACATGTATCAATAATTCTAACTTGGTACTTTTTCTTGCTTGGCAGAAATTTTAAGAATTCTTTTTTTTATGCTTAAAATGAATATTTGAAAGCATTAAACAGGTATTATATTTTCTTTAGTAAATGGAAAATTATTGCATAAAAGTTTTTTTTAATTTGCTTTTACATACTTTCTGAAATACTTAAAACATTGTATTAATAATACATAAATGACAATTGGTGACTTTTAAATTATAATAATAATTATTATTGATATTATTGGTACCAGGGGCTGAACCCAGAGGCGCTTAAAGGCTGAGCCACATCCCCAGTCCTTTTTTATTTATTTATTTTTGTTTTGAGAGAGGGTCCCACTGAGTTAGTTGCTTAAGGCTTTGCTAATTTCCTGAGGCCGCGAAATACACTGGTCTCAGCCTCCTGAGCATCTGGGATTACAGGTATGAGCCACCACACCCAGTTTAATTAAGTAGTTCTTTTAAAACAATATTTGGTAAAGTTACTTCTGATAGATGTAAGTGGGCACATTTCTCTCCATAAATTTCAAATTGTTAGTATCTCCTGGCCCCCGTATATTCCCTACTTATGTAACTGTATTTAGTGATGCTTAAGTTCTTTCTGTTCATATTTAGTGAGAAACACTGAAAAGCTTACTGGAAGCTCAGGTTGCATGTGATCAAAGGACAAGGCGAGTATGGTGAGGAAAGCAAGCCATGGGCAGACCTTCCTGGAACTCTTGCTTCCTCCTATGCAGGCATGCTTGGCTGTGCCTTCAGTTCTCTCCCCACCTGGAGGCTGTCGGGCAGCCTTCTGAGTTTGCAGTTGAGCTCAGTCCTGAAAGCAGAGGAAGGGCAAGAGGGGCTCTCGGTACCCCTGTTCCCCACTGCATCTTCCCAGCTGGGCTGCTGCCCTCAGTTAAAACGCACAGGTGTTTGAAAGTCACCCCTCTCCACACCAACCTCTCCCAACTCCACAGGATTCTGTTAACTATGTCTCCCCTTTCCTTCAGGCCTGGGGTTGCTAACATGGTCCCCTATTCTTTGGTGGTTCCCTTTATGCCACCCATTTTTAAAAGTGTGATTTGATTATATCTTCCATCAGTTATACTAATTTGAGCATGTCATCTACTGTGTACTTGGAAGTTGACAGATACATCTGTCCCTAAAAAAATACAAACATGCATATGGTGAAATATTTCTTTCTATTGAAAAAATATGAAATTAAAGATAGCTTAGATTTTTGAATATTTCCTTGATACCAGAAAATAAATTGAGCACTAATTAATATGTCAAAACAAATTTCTTCAGTATCTATCTTTATCTCCATTTTTAGGATGAGGAATCTGAAGTTTGCCGAAGTCCACGCACTGAGTACGTGGGAAAGCCAGGGCTACACCCAGAGAGACTGACTCCACGGCAGTGACTCACATGGCAAATGGTATTACAAAATGGATAATCAAGAGTGAGTCCCTCAATGAGGAGTGGCTCTACCTGGGCTATGCATAACATGGCTTCAGTTGTTACCAGGAATGATTTTTGAAAAGAAAGCATATATATATCTATATATAGTTTTTTTTTTTTTTTAATTGTGTGTGATTGTGTGTGTGTGACCCCTAGTCATTTCTAAGTTTGGACCTGAACTCTTACAAGCAAAAAAAAGTGATTTATAATTATTTATAGTTATAATATGACTACCAAAAAATCCACAAAACCAAAAAATAAATTAAAAAAAAACACTTATGGGTCAAATAAAATTTTCTATTGGCAAGAATTTCTTCTTTTGGCCTTTACTTTTTAACCTTTCATAAAAGCTAAGTTGACAATCCAGTTAATATATAACATTAAATATTTATGTTTTTTATTACTAAATTTATCAAGAAATCAATCACAGCAAAACTTTGAAATACTCTTTGTGATGTACGTCCTAAGTTGAAGATTTGGCATGTCTTTAGAGAGACCTGGCACACAGGTAGCACAATCTTGTGTTTTCTGTACAGTAGTCTTGGGGGATTCCTGAAAGATTATACACTAAATATGAAAAACAAACAAAACAAAAATCAAAACAAAATGAAACAAAAGAAAACCATGACTTGGTTCCCTACTTGTTTTGACTTTCTTTTGAATGAATTTTTGCATAGTAGTAAAGTTGAGCAGATCTTGTTATTGATACCAGCTCATAACCTGTTAACTTCTAACCCAGGAGTTCAGTTCCTCATCTGTAAAAATTAGGATAACCATACGTAATTTGTGGATTTGCTTATTGTTAAAGAAAATTATATGTGCATATTCCTGGCACAAAAATGAAAGCTCTAGAATAAGAATGCCTTGGGTAAAATCCTAAAATTAATGTTTATTAGCTGCTTTACGTCTTTAAGTTTCTAAACCTGTGTATCTTTCATCCTCTTCCTTCATCTGCAGTGATTCTCAGATTTGAAGGAACATCAGAATAACTTACAAGACTGTTCAGATACAGATTCTTGGGCCTTGCTTCTCAAGTCTTTGGTTCAGTAAGCCTGGATGGAACAAAAGACTTTGCATTTCTAACAGCTCCTGAATGATGCTGATGTTGTTGGTCTGGGGAACCTGCTTTGAGAAATACCAATGTGCTATGAAGAAGCTGTTCTTCATAAAAAAGGAAGAGTTATGGGAATGCTAAGGCCTCTTTGTCATCCACTCAATACGCAAGTGTAACAGTTAATGAACCATTGCTGCGATAATGCTGCATGAACCCTTAAAATAGTACGCACATACTTTGTTGATGTCCATTGTGAGTCATCAGGAACATTCCTGTCTTAGGGTGCAGTGTGAGCAAGTGGACAGGCTTCAAGCTTCAAATCAGGGTCCAGTCTAGTTCCTGGGTCGATTCTAAGGCCCAGATTGAAGGGACATGGGTCCAATTACAGAACCTTATGGACTGCTCAGTTCACTTCCTATAGAAGCCAAATATTTTACCCCTGGCTTTGAGTTTCTGTCTTAGGAACGCACTGTTGCCTCCCTGGCCCATTGTCCCCTACTCTTGCCTCTTCCTCACACTGCAGCCGCTTTTGTGCTGGCCTCTTATGATGCCAAGTATATTCCCTGCTTGGAGTCCTCTGGTGTGCTGTGCATGCCCTTCCCTTGATTAGTTCTCCAGTATCTACAATTCTTGCTCCGATATTACATATAAGTCAGTTGGGCCTTTTGATACTACACTGTGAAAAATTCTTTCAACCAAGGTACCCAATCCTTCCCTAATATGGTCCCACAGGATATTTTATCACTTTCTAACAAACTACATAACTCATTTATTTTGCCTTTTGTTTATTTCTTCAAACTAAAATGTAAATTCAATAAAAATAAGGGTTTTCTTTTGTTTATTGATATTATTCAGTGTTTAGAACTATAAATAAAATGTGTTTAGATAATAACTGTTGAATAAATTAATGTATCAATATGGTGATAATATGAGGGAAAAAAAAGTAACAACTAAGATTATCTTATTTTTATGAAAAGATAAATTTAAATTATAAAATAAATCTTAAAGAATTGTCATATATATTAGTCCTTAATTTGAGGTTTTATGACTATATTAGTTTATTGGCACAATTAAAGAGATATATATATATATTTAATACATATATATATGCTATATATATATACACCTATAATTTCAAAAAATTCTTATTTTAATATTGATATTGAAACTTAAAATATTTATAAAAACATGCATAATAAATAATTTTAATCTTCATGATTTTTCTGTTGTGATTATATCGAGTATATGATAACTAATAATAAAAATTGGCATTAAGATACCACATTACATAGATCAGTTAAGGGAACAGAACTGACAGTCCAGAAATAGACCAGAGCATAAATAAACTGTTGATTTTAGATGAATATACCAGCACAACTTTGTGAAGAAAAATAATCTTAAACAAATATTGTTGGAATAACTGAAAACCCATGTGCTAGAAAAAGAAAATTTAATGCAATACCTCAGAAACCAATAAGAATTAGCTCTAATAGATCATAATTTAATATAAAAGAAAAAATTCTTAAACTTCTAGAAGAAAAGTTAAGAAAAAAATTGGTGACCTTGAGTTAGGCAAAACACTCCCAGACATGAAACCAATATTATCACTGATAAGACAAATCCAGCAGGTGTGGTGGTGCACACCTGTAATCCCAGCTTCTCCAGAGGCTGAAGCCAGAAGAACACAAGTTCTAGGATAGCCTGGGCAACTTAGATAAAACCTATGGCAAAATATAGTTAATAAAAGAAGGGCTGGGGATATAGCTGTGTTGTAGAGTGTTCACCTAACATGTGTGAGGCCTGGGTTCAGTCCCAATATTGCAACACATTAAGTAAATAAATACATAAATAAATAAAATAAAAGAATAAATTCTAAATGGACTTATACCATAGTTAATAATTTTAAAAGACACTAGAATGAATAGACAAAGTCACAAGCTATGGAAAATATTTGCATATCAGACATATAACAAAGCATTTAAACCCAGTATAAAGAATTGTTAAAACTCAACAATTAGAAAACAAACAATATAATTGAAAAAATTAAATAAACACTTTAGAAAAAAAATAACACATAAAATACATATTTTTAGTCATTGTAGTAATGAAAGTTAAAGCCATATTAAAAGATTATGGCATGACTATTGGAACCTTTAACATTAAACCTGATAAAACCCATGTTGGTGAAGATTTGCCACTTCTGGGAGCCTCAAGTTCTGTGCTATTGGGAATGAATTTCTCATGTACTGTGCTACTGGGAACAAATGTAACCTCTTCGAAAACAAGTTGGCCATTTCTTAAAGTGTTAATCATATACTTATATCACTTAGCCATTCCTCTTCCAAGATGTATGCTAGCAAATTTTTATCAAAACTTGTATATGAATATTCATAGTAGTTTTATGTGTAATAGCTGCAAACTGGAAAAAAAACAATGTGTCCACAAATAAATAATTGTGTAAATATATTGTCCTATGTTCATGAAATGAAATATTACCCACTAATAAAAATAATGTACCTTTGATACATGTTACAATATGTATGGATGAATCTTAAAACAGATTTTCTGAGTTAAAAAAGTCTGACTCATTATGTGAATGTAAATACTATATGGCAGCATTCACATAAAATTTTAGAATTTTCTAGGAAAATGAAGACAATCATGATTGAAATTAATTCTATCTTTATTGTTCTCACATTTAATTCAGTGATATTTAAGTATAAACACATTTTAGTCAATTATATAAAGTCATATTCTTATTTTAATAAAAATATTTAATAAGAAAATCATTAAATAATATATTAAATATATCACAGTATTATATTATTATATTAAATAATGATAATAATGTTATTAAATAAACATGAATATTATTGATTAATATTATTAAATAATATTCTTTTTAATAAAGAATATTATGTTGGTTTTGGTTTAGAGGTCTTGTTTTCTATGCTGTATGCTTGCTAATGACAATATATTTTGGGATTTTTTTCTTGAAACATATTAATGGTATGCAATGCATCTTATACATTAAAGTAACTAAGGGGCAAAGACATAGCAAGAGGCCTTCTCATTTATATCACTCTTTGTTTCTCCCTCTACCACTCGAGTGTTACCTGTGGGAGTGGAATGTTCCAAGACCTCCAGTAGATATTTGACAATGCACATAATACTGAATTCTATAACTCTATGCTTTTGACAATACACTATTACCTCTGATAAGTTTTATGTTTAAATTAGAGCAGCAAGAGATAAACAACAATTATTAGTAACAAAATAGAATAACTTTAACAACACATTTAATAAAATTATGTAAATATATTCTCTTTCTCTCAAATGCCATGGTGTGGATGGTGTATACAGCATGGAAACTCTGAACAGAAGAATGATTGACATCCTTCAGTGGGGTGGAGTGAAATTTAATCACACTATTTAGCATGGTGTGCAAATTAAAACTTATGAGCTTCTTACTTCTAAAGTTTTCCATTTAATATTTTTGGATTTCAGCTGTCCACATTATATTAAATCATGGAAAACCAATCTCAGATAAGGAGAAAACTCTGTAATAGTTTTTTTATAGTTTTAGTATGAAAAGGACTATTTTTTTAGAGAATATATAAATTTTCAATGTAATTTTAAAACTGTCACTATATTTCAAGGATTTTTGGATCTCTGTTAACTAGTTAATGGTGATGATTACTAGAAAACAAGACAAACCAGTACCCATTCTCAGGTGTCAACAGATTGCTGTAAAAATAGTTTCTGTAGCACAAACATAAAACTCTTGTTTTCTTACATGCATTGTTTCCTAAAAAATTATTATCAAATAAACTTTAAAAGAAATGCAAATGTAATGTTAATAACCTTCAACAAAGAAAAAAAGTGATAATTATCTAGAAAATATATCCTGCTCCTGCTCAAGTGGGGCTCTATCATTCTATTAAAAGTGGGTAGAGTGTGTAGGCATTAACCTAGGAAACAGAACTGTTTTTTTTTGTCATATAACATTTTGCAGCTTTATTTCGCTTCAGAAATGTACTTATATAATCAAATTCCAAGCTGTGTCCAAGAGTCAATAACAATTCTGTTTTACTAATTTCACCTTTTACTCCTAAATGTTATACAAGTATAATTATGTGTTGATTAATTTGAATCAATGACACAGTTTAACGTCTGAACACTTGTAGACACTTGAAGAGAGTCTCAATTTTATAGGTAGGAAGAAGAGCCTTAGAGTTATAATTCTGATGTCAAGTGCATGCAATTTTTTTCTAGTTCTTTGAACACTGTGAATCCATGTATGATGTATTTGACAAATGTCAATTAACAAGAATGTTCAATTAACCAAAAGACCCAATTTTCTGATTATTTTTGGATAAATGGGTGCTTACTAAAATTCCTGTTAAGAATAACTCCCATAAATATAACTTTTATTATTTATATTTCTATGCCTAATGAACATTGAAGATCTCTGACCTGGATTTTTCTGTCTTTGGGGTATTGAGGTAGTTTCCTTGATGAATGTAGTTTGAGAGTTGACATACAGAGTTCAAATAGACATAAGATTTTTAATACTTGTAGGTCACACTGTATTTATTAATCAGTAATGTTTAGTGATTTTAAATATATACTGTAGTAAGATTTATACTTTCATATTGTGTAGTTTTTAAACTGTTGTCTTTCTAGAAGGTGGGAGAAGGGGTCTTCTTCATTCAATTTTACTGTGGTTTCTGTCAGTTCAGTCTAAAACTGCTCTTCGTTTGCACAGCAGTCACCGGTTCCAGGATTTAGCTTATTTCAGGCTTCCCCAAACCAGCCTAATGATGCCAGGCCCCGATTGCCAGCCATGTTACTCAGTGTTCCGGACATCAGTTCTATAGCGACTTTCTCAGAGTCAGAGAACCCTGCCCATCACTTTGCTCTGACAGATCTGCAGGTAGTTGTCCTTTCTTCCAGCTGGTATGTTCGTGATGACTATTGTGCATGAAACTCTTCCACATTATGTAGTTGACCCCATCTATTAAATTCCCTGTTGAAATACGTTTAATCCTGTTTGTCCTTGCCAGATACACTGTATACAATGAATTGATGGAGAGAGGCGGAATGAAATTCTTCTTCAAAATTTAATTTGTTCTACATCAGTATTAGCTTTCCAAATCATCACTTGACTTTTGAAACTGTTTAAAAAACAAAACAAAACAAAACTTTCTTGTAGGATTAAAATGGATATGATTACAAAATGCTGTTGATAAATAAATCTTATTATTGATTTAATTATTATTCCTCCTAATGAAGTCTTGCCGTCTCTATCGAGCTTCTTAACGCCTCTTTAGTCATGTTTAGGAGTGGAAGATTTCTACAACATGCCTTTCCTCTTTTTTTCTTTTATTCCCTTCATTGTGTACCATCAGCTCTATTTGCCATGTGTGAGGACTGTTCTCCTTGTGGCCCTATCTTCCATTGGCTCCTGGTAAAGTCTACTTGTAGCTTTGCTTTCACCTCTCTGGCTACCTCCACCTGTCCTTTGTTTTCTGATTTCTCCTTTCCAGGGGCTTTTCTCTCATTTTTCATCTACATTGATTATTATTATTATTATTATTATTATTATTATTATTATTATTATTATTAAAATTTGCACCTTGGGAAAACTCATCCAGACTCAAATACTGTCATACAAAACTCAACCTGTTGGTATTTGGTTCTTCACTTTCCTGGGCTAATTCTTTCAAGTGTATTCCCCTTTGGGTACGGCCGTTTAAATCATGGTTCAATCTATAATCAATGTCTTTCCCTCTACCTTTTACTCATGGGCTCAGCGTGTGTGGTCATTCTTGTCTTCTCTCTTCTGGCATTGAACAACTCTGTCTTAGC